CATTTGTATGGAAAATTACTGAAAATGACTGATTTATAGCTATCCTATAATCTAAAAATTTACATCCCTCTACTTGCAAAAAGCATATAGAAATAAGAAATATCTGTGATGAAGAATTGCTTTACTTTAATGCTTAGGGCATTTATTTAAAGAATATGCATTTACATATTCATGAACTTTATTCTAGTAATTTCAAGACCCTCTGAAAATCAAGTACACTAATGCACCTGCAACCTTATTACCTGATCCTGAAAATACTGTACTGTTGGCTTTATTTTTCTTGGAGATTTTTTTTCTCCTTCACTTGACATTGAGGTGGAGAGAGGTTTTCTGGGTCCTCTCTGGGTACAGTTTTATTTCCAGGTCTCCCCTGAGGAGCCTGCCTCCCCCCGCCCCCGGGGGGGATCTGTCTTGTGTAAGCCGGGATGCGTCCCCAGTTCCTGGTCACATACATGTCATTTTAGTGATTTGCTCATTAGTTTCACATGGTTTTTGATGGGAATATGGTCCAGGTTACAGGTTTGAAATGGTGTCAGAAACTGAACTAAATTTCTTTGTTTAAAAAAAAAAAGAACTATTTTAAAAATAACTCAATATTATACAATCATCCATTTTTCTAAAGGTATTTTATACTATTGTACAGAATATTCTATTGGATACCATGTATTAAGTGCATGTAAATATAAATAATTCTGGCAGAATTTTATTTCATCTGAGAGAATTTTTGAGATTTATAAATATTTGTGGTAAGTTCATGCAATGTCAGAGTTTTTATCAGTCTGCAGTATTGTGGAAGACTTAGGTTAAAAATAGGATAATAAGTTTTATTGCCATTAAAAGGCGCTGATGTAATTATGTTTTAGTGGTTTATCTTTCTTATTACTCTATCTTATGATAAAAAAGTATAAACGAGGAATTTGAGTTAAGATCATTGCTATTCTTGTTTGTAGAAAAGATGTATTTGTCACAGATTTATGGAGCAAATTGTTCCTGATAGCTGGTCTTTAGCATCCCGTGGACAGAATTTCAGACAGACTGGGCTTTGTGTGGGGCCTGTTTTTTTACACCTTGAGCTGACATCTTCATCCAGAGTATTTGAAATATGTGGCATTGAACATACTGCAATTCAGGATCATTTGAGGAATGAGAAAAACGTTGTCTTGTTGTTTTCTTATGCTTTTAATGCCCTTGATGTGACCTTCTTTGCTGGTAGTGGTTGGTTTGGCATCAGGTATGAGACCTCTTAAGTTTGTAGGTAATAACCTCATTCCATTTGTGTGAACTTTTCTGTTTTCAAGGAACTTTGTTCTTGTCATGTTCAGTATTTGCTACTTTTGACACTCATTTTATGCAGCCATGTGGAGCACCATTAAGGACCAGCCCCTGGTTTTCCACGGCAAAGTGAGGTCGTCTGGGTATGCGTCCACATCACAGTGAGTAAATGGGCTCATAGGTTGCTCATGTTGGGACATGGAGGTAGAGGGTTCAGTACACCTGAGCCCTCTTCTCCCATCCTCCTTCATCTGGGCCCCAGCCCCTCCTCAGCACCCAGGGGTCTTGTGGATCCTGCGGCAAATGCAGGGCCCCTGGCCGTGGCACACGGCCGGGCCACCCTCTCCTGCCCCTTGTCCTGATGGCTCTGGGCGTGGCCTGATGCAGAGTGTGCTGCTTGCTCCGAGAGGCTTGGATGCAGGTGTGGGGTGGGAGTGTGGCTGTCCAGCATGCATCCCTGGGGCTCGTAACTCTGTGTCCCAGAATCTCTGGGGTCTTGTTTCTTCATCTGAAAAACAGGCCAGCACCAGGTGACTGTTCAGCTACTGCCAATATTCGATAATTTGATTTTATTAAAGGGAGGATTCAGCATTACTTCCGAGTGATTTCACTTCTATTTCTGAGTAGGTTCACAAATAACGTCTGTAAATGCAGTTCAATTTCTGTTGTGATCCTATGCTGTCATTCTCCAAAAGGAGACACTGGGGCGCCTGGGTGGCTCAGTTGGTTAAGCGACTGCCTTCAGCTCAGGTCATGATCCTGGAGTCCCGGGATGGAGTCCCGCATCGGGCTCCCTGCTCGGCAGGGAGTCTGCTTATCCCTCTGACCCTCCTCCCTCTCATGCTCTCTGTCTCTCATTCTCTCTCTCTCAAATAAATAAATAAAATCTTTAAAAAAAAAAAAAAAGAGACACTGTCCCAAGAATGCCACTGCAGATGTGTAAGTGGGAGGGAAGTTGTTACAGTTGAAGTAATTGAATGTTCAGTGTATTTCCAGCATGGGGCACTGAAGCATTAATATATTTAAATATATATGTATATTTTGCTGCAAATACAGGTCTCTTAAGAAGCTTGGAACTGTAGTCTTTGAGGGTAATGTGTTTGCTTTCCACAGCGTGACTCTGTTCTCACCAAAGACCAACACCAGGAGCAGCGGTGACCGCTCTTTACCACGTAGGGCCCGTCACAGGTGGTACGTTACTAGTTTGCCCGAAGTAAATGTGTAATTTGGAGAGACCCTTTGAATACTCTAAGTGAATTTGTTCCAAACGGGTGTGCGAGCTTGTGAGTCTGCGTGTACGTATGGGCACATGTGCTTCAATCACTTGTATATACATGCCCTTTTGGTCACATTCAGTTCTTCCTTATTAACCCTTTTTCAGGCAGGTTGCTATCTTTACCACCTTAACAACTTAGGAATATTAATTTTTGTTAAAATTCTGTTTTAGAAAGTGTTGTGGTCGATGATGGATCATTCTTGATAAGTTTGTTGGGTAATAACTGGACAGAAGAATGTGAGCAGTCCCAGGGCTGCACGCCCGAGCTGAGCGCATGGACTTGGACGTGCTTTTTGTCCCGTGGGTGCTGCGCAGGACACGGTGTGCGGGACCGTGGCCAGTCCTGCCGGTCCCCAGGCCCCGTGTTCCTGGACGGGAAGGTGTGGGGGGGGCCCTCCAGGACCCTCCCCGTCCCACACTTGGAGATGACCTCATCTGGACAGAGATTCCAGGCTGTGGTGTTGAAATGTCACTTGCTCTCGTCCACAGCACAGAGAATGCTGGTTTTACCCAGTCTTGTGACGTTTCTCCTATGTCCTGATGCTCTTCCTGCCCTTCTCTGCTGCTCCTGTGTCAGCGGGTCATGGATGGCAGGGTCGTGACCCCAGCAGGGGCCCTCAGACCCTGTGATCCTCAGACCAGTGGTTGGGGACGGAATGCAGCACCAAGAGCCATGCTCAACTCTGATCTTCTTGGTGACTTTTTCCTACAGGAACCCAGCTCTCCAGACAGAGCCGGTGGTCTTTGATGGGTTTCTGGCCTGGGGGGCATTCTGTTGAGGGGTTTCAGTGAGAGGAGGACCCCAAACAACGTCCCAGACACAGGCCAGTGTTCCTCAGGGAAAGACTCCTCCAAACACCTACCAGATTTCACTCTGGACAGATGGTGCTGCCTGGGGCAGGCTCGCAAGGCCAGTCTTTCCAGCTTGTACGGCCTCTAAAGGTGTGAATAAATGTGTAACTTGTCACCAGTAACTTCCAGCTTTTACAACAGCCTGTCTTCACAGCTACTTTCTTTTTCTGCCCTTGCTGTGTGCCTGGCGCCTTTCCACATTCCCCGAAGCGCGCAGCAACGCTGCGTGACAGGTGGTTCCGCTGAGGTGGGAGGGCTGTGGGGGCCACATGGGCACCAGGGAGGAGGCCTGTGGCCTTGCTGCCGCTCAGAGGCTGCCAAACCAGATGCTGAACGTGAACACTGAGGAGATTTTGCCTCAAGAGATGGATGCCTTCAGTGGGAGGACCCACTCCACCCAGCCTGCCCCTGCGCGGGTCCCGGCCATCGGTCCTTTCCCGCAAGCCGCCATGGTCTGGCTCACAGCCTGGGGATGTGGTTATTCTCACGGCAGATATAAGCCATCTATAGATTACTAGAGAACTTAGTATGATGGCCGCCCACAGAGAGTGCGAAACCGGGAAGTGCAGGATGTCTTCTCTCGCCAAGTCCTCACAGAGTCACTTCAGTGTATGGTGAACATGAGCAATCCTTGACAGTTTGTACTGAAAATGGAGCAGAAGTGCATTTTACAGAGTTATTCATGGCTCTGTGTGTATTTATACGTATTTAAGTTGGATAGAATGAAATTGCACATGTAAATAGGGGAGAATCCACCATTTCTAGTCCGTTGTTTTATTTCTCATCTCACTTTGAACTCTCTCGATTTTCATCTTTCTGATGTTCCTTCCAGTAAGGAATACCCTTTGGAGAGTTCTCCGCCAACCAAAGTCCACAAGCAGCATGTCCTCGCGCACGGGCCGGCCGCTGCGAGCTGCGTCCAGTACTCAGGTACGCCATGCCGGAGGCCGCCCTTCGCTGTGTTTCCAAGGGTCCCTCAACTGCCACTGTTCCATCGTAAATAGAGCTTTAAAAATCTTGGTTGCGTGAAGTTTTCTGGCATTGTTTGAGTCTGGATTAAAATCAAAGCTCACATTGCCCTTGAGTGTACTGGCATTAGGGCATTCCCGCTCGCGCCGGCCACTGCTGTAGACGGGAGCTCCTGGATTTGGAATTGGAGGCTCGGCCAGATCTGTGCTGTGTGTGTGTGACCCTCTCCTCTGTAGTGTTGGAGGGAGCCGCGAGGGGGTGGGGGGCTGGTTCGCAGACGGTGGAGGAGACTACTCAGGGCGGATTACCTCAGTGTCCTCTGTGGTCACCGTCCCTCCTCAGATGGAGCCTCTCCTGCAGGCCCAGTGCGTCTTGGGCTGGTGATGGCCATGTTCTCTCAAGCGCATTGAAATGCCTCTGCCAGACTCTTTTCTGGGCCTTCAGCATTTTTCCTAAGTGAGTTTGCAGGAAGTGGGGAGCAGCTCCCGTCCAGGTGGCTCTGCGATCTGAGCTCTTTGTTCAGAAGCACACGTTGTTTCTGGTTTCTAGACATACCTAGAGGTGAGAAGATGTGTTTGCCCTCAGTCCGGTGGCTAGAAGGCCACCCCTCAGCATTTTGAGGGCATTCCTGCAGGTTTCATTACTTCCAACTATGCGAAGTTCCCTTCGTTTTTCATGTAAGTTTAGCCAAAGCATGTTTGAGTGATTTTGGGAAATAAGATACATAGTATCATCAGTAAAGTACCTTTGTGGTATGAGATGGTCTTGCTTATTTATGATCATGTGATTGTATGATATGATTAGAAATAAAGTAGGAGCTCCGCGAGTTGGAAAATCTTGGGGGGGTGTCTGTAACTTAGTTCTGCCCTGTGTTAGGGATAGGTTTAAATATTCTTGTGTAGCTGAATACTATGTGTCTTAAAATCTGTTGATGGGAGGCAGGGTGCCCTGGGGTTTAGGGTTCTCTGGGTTCAGAACCCCATGCTGACTCTGACTAGCCCTGTGGCTCCTAACTCCCAGGTCCTCTCTAAAGGACATCCTGGGAGATGCCACCTGGTGGACCCTCAAAGTGTGGTGGTTAGCCATTGAGCAAGTGCTGTTTTAGGTTCCCTCACAACCTGACAAAACGAACGTCAAGTTAACTACAGATTCTATATTTACCTGTTGCAAGTGTGACTCCTGTGAGCTGTGATCTTACAGGGATATCTCTTACCGTGTTTAAGCAGGGGATGGATGGTGGCTCGCCTGTGGCTTAGCCAACCACTCGCTGGTCTTCCGTGCTGATCTCACTGGGACACCTGCTGTTTTTTCAGGTATGATGTGTGTTAATTTTAGTTACTATACATTTATGGGTGGGTCTCCTTTCGGTCCTGGGTATCAATTGCTCTTCTCTTTAAGATCAGACTGGAGTAGAACTAAGGCTTGCATGGAGGTTTAGCAAACCAGATTGGCCCCACTAAACTGGGCAGAAGGGGTGTAACCAGGAAGGCCAGGCTGCAGGGGTTCTGTCGCAGTGCCCCATGGTCAGGGAACTAAGCTTCTACGAAGTTGCTGGGGGGGGGCAAAGTCAGATCTTACAGACATGACTAAAGCGCGTTTGGAAAATTAGGAGGGTTTGTACACAGACATTTTTATAAACGTAACGAGGTGAGGATGTTTCTCGGGTGAGTAGATTTGAGGTGAGGGCAGAGGTGTTGGAAGTCTTGCTGTTGTAGCTTCCTGACAGATTCTGAGCTACCCCCACTCTCGGTCAGGCTCCTGGAGCCTCTCACTGCAAGGCTCACACTTCGCAGATATTTTAGCAACAACAAAAACACAAAAAAATCCCCAGAAATGCTACCAGTCCAAGTGTTTCTGTGAAGTAGAGGAGGGGGCACCTGGCGGAGGGGGTGAGGCACAGACATGGTGGGTGGAGGGGGGCAGGAGCATGCTCCACAGTGTTCCTCCAGACTCGGGTACCTCCAGAGTCTACAACGGGCCTCCTGACAGCATTGGGGGGCCTTCTGGAGGGTGGCTTCCTGGCCCAGAGCCACATCATCCCCTACGCTCCGTGGCTCCTCCTGGCTTCAAACTGTTGTTCTGAAGGCTCCTGTTAAGGCACCTTGCATGTGCCCGGGATTCCGCCTGGGTGTCTTTCTATCACTCAACAATTGATAGAAATGGCAATTACATTGGATGTGGATGTTTCTCTGTTTTATTGCAGGAATAGGACTTGTGGCTGAATTCAGATAATGCAGGAGATGTTCAAACTTGCCTTTTAAAAAAGTGCCCTGTTTGTGTTTTGGGGAAAAGTGTCATTCTTACCCACCCCACCTGCTCTAGGACACCATTCCGCCTTGTACTGCTGGGTTACTAGTCATACGGTTCAACTTTGAAAATACGATTGCTTTCTCCACACTTGACACAAAAGGCAGGAAAATGGGCGCTTTAATATTCATCACAATCTAGGACAAAAGAGGCCAGTATAATCTGGGTATTTTGTTGTGGTTAAAATTAGATGCTAAGTTAGAATCCCCTCCTAGAGAACTCAGGACTGGGTCCCAGGAGAGCACAGCCAGCTGTGCATCCCAGCTTGAAAGCCAGTGGTCACAACTGCACTGAATTCAATAAGGGCTTCATGTTTGTGCTTTCGAATGTGGAACGCCGCCCATCACACCTTGTCCAGCACAAGCATCGTGGGGACCCTGCTTCCGTCCCTCAGCGCATGCTGGGCACAGAGCAGATGCTTGAGGACACGGGTGGACGGATCTGAGCACATTGCAGGAGGATGTGCCCAGGGCTGAGGGGTGTAAGAGTGGAATTCTGGGGCCAGCCCCTTCACAAGATTAAATTTAGTTAAGATTTTATTAAATATTATGGAGTTGCTTAAAAACCAATTCTGAAAAAAGGGTGGACTTGAGCTCAGAACATCTTGCTTCCTGGTGTTAAGTTCTCAGTCTGCTTGATCTCGGCCACACTCTTGCCATCCTGCGTTCCTTCTCTGTGGCGTCGGGGGTCACACACCTCAGGCCAGGCCCTGGCCCCAGGGAAGGAGAGGACTCAGATGTGTCTTGTGTCCTGTTCGTTCTGTTCCTGAGGTTTATCCCCGCAGTGTGCACGCTGCAGGGGAACCTGCCATCCAAGGTGCGAGGCCGTCAGTGTGGTTCAGTGAGAAGGCAGTGTGTGCAGCATGGAGCCGAGCTGAGAGGAGGAAGGAGGAGCCCAGCTGAGGTCCCTGCTAGGCACACCAGCCGGCTGGAACTGGGGTCCCCGCGCCAGGCCTTGCGGTCACTGCTGCTTGTGTGCAGGCTGGAGCTCGGAGGAGAAGGTCGCATAGTGTTCTCATTCAGAGTCAGAGAGGTCTGTCCCTGCCCTACCAGCTGCTGCACTGGGTGGGCTCATCGATGCCCCGGTGATGCTTGGGGCTCAGCAGAGCGGTGCCCGTTCAGGGTTTCTGCTATAAGAGCACTTCGGCCTTCTTTGGTAACTCAGCTGACCTTGTCTGGGCGCCCAGGCTCAGAATACTGGTTAGCAGGGAGGGCTGGCAGGACAGAGGAGGGTGTCCCCACTGCAGTGGATCACCACTTAATTGGGAAGAATTACACCCAGCTAAATAGTGGTGACTTCACTGCGCGTGTCCCTCTGACTCGTGGCTTGTTGGCCTCGTCACTGCCGGGTGAGGCGGTGGCGGTCTGAGCTCCCCTATGCGATGTCGAGGAAGGGAGCCACTGAGCTGGGAATACAGGTGCATCTGCAGGTGCCAGGCCAGAACAGGCAGAGCCGCCTACCTGTCACGCCCTCACCCTGGGCCTGCGGCCAGCCCAGAGCACCTGGGACGGAGTGGGTGGTCGCGGGTTCTCAGACCCACTGACCTGCAGTGAAGCGTCACAGGTGCCATCCCTGGTGTCCCCGGCCTTGCTGCTTCTCAGCAAAGCAGCGATGGTGCGTGCAGGCCTGCAGCCTGGCGCTGGGGCCTCCGTCCTTCTGGTAAAACTCCCAGAAACCTACACCAGAGGGCAGCAGAGCTGTTTCCTGGGAAATCCGGCTCTGGTTGTCCTGGGTTGCGGTGCCTACTCTATAAATCTCTCCTGCCGTCTCCACCGCTTCCCTGTTGGTTCTCTGGCGGGTCAGCCCCTCACTGTCTCCTCTGCGGTGGTCCAGCCTCAGCAAGAATGTCCTCACGGGGGCACTGGCTTCCGTGCACGTTCGGTCACAGAGTGCTTGAGCCGGAGGCTGGCACGTTCCCGGATGCGCTGCCGCGTCTGCGGGTCCCCTCTCCACCATCCGGGCCAGACGCGGGGCCCGCAGGGAAAGGCGGCTTTGCTGTGCCGCTGGGGTCCCTGGGCCCATCCCTGTGCCCCGTGTGGTACAGCACGGTCCAGACTCCCCAGCTGTGCCGTGCGGGGGGCGCTCGCACCCCAGCCTGCCCTCTCTGTCCCTCTCCACTCCAGAAAGCCCACGGTTTTCACTTCCCCAGCGGCCTGGCTCTGCCTGTCCTTGGGCTCCTCTGCTTCCCAGCGCGGCTGGTGGCAGCAGGGGCAGGACCCTTTGAAGTGGCCTCCTGGACCTCTGATGGAGGCAGGATGCAGAGGTCAGCCTGCGTGGGAGACAGCCGGCGCCCGGTGAGAAGGGGCAGGGCTGGCCGGCGGCCTGGCGCAGTGGTGGAGCGTCCAGCTCCCGCAGGGGCGTGCGTCTGTTCTCTGCGCTGCGTGGAGCTGAGGCAGGCGGGGGACGGGCAACCCGCGCGCAAGGACGGGCTGTCCCGTTGACCTGGTGTGCGACTGCGGTAGGTGATGGACCGCGCTGGGAGTCCAACCCGCGCCTGGCCGGTCAGGCCCCGGCCCACAGCAGTGCACGCGCCCCTGAATAGGAGAGGGTGCAGCAGCGGATCACGGGGCCCGCCCCGCTGAGTCAGTGAGCCGACCTCCTGACTGCGAGATTGCGGAGGGGTCACATCAGAAGGCGCAGGTTCGCTGCCTGCCGAGTCAGGGCCAGTGGTGCTGGCAACAGAGGTCGCCCCAAGGACAGACTGCGGTTGGCACGGTAGAGCTTCTCTTTGGGTGTTTCGATAGGAAGAGAGAAGGTGAGCGGTGTGTCCTCGACCCGGTGATGGGCCTGAACGTCACTCCTCATCTCCTTCCTGCACAATCCCGTGTGCTGCGGGCCCCGTGGGCCGCGTTCACGCAGCCTGTCGCTGGCGGCGCGCGGACTCCGGCGGCCCTAACGGTAGTTGGACTGTATGTGGCCGCGCGCAGCAGATCCTTCTGCTTTCCCTCAGTGTTGAGAGAGCAACGGCTCTGGAAGACGCGTCGTGGTGAAGCCCACAGACTTCCTACCTCTTATTTATTTATTTTTTAAATTTATTTGAGAGAGACAGAGATAGTGAGAGAGAGAGCACAAGTGGGGAGGAGAGGGAGAAGCAGGCCTCCCGCAGAGCAGGGA